TTAAAGCTACATTCACATTGTAACATGTTATAATTGGCATCACTTGACTAATTGATAGGTGACTCTGTAATTCCATGAAGCTACTGATACCTCGTGTCTCATAGGCCTACTAACCCCGTAGGGCTGCGCAATATAACCGGTTTACCGGTTCAGACATGAAAACGATACATATTGCGATACGCTGATCAAAAAACCGGTATTTTGACTTGCATTTGGAAAACTTCGTAACACTCGGAAATCTTCGGATATTTCCTTGTTTCATTTGTGCCAAATATTATTTACATTTCTATTCATGATTAAAGGTTGTTAAAACTTAATCAAACATAGTTTTTTGTTGTGTTTTTGCTCTAAAAATCAAGCTTTAACGCAATTATAAGTAGTTTTTGTTTAAAAATTCTTCTTGCAATATATTGCAATACATATCGCAGTATATGCGTTCGCATCGCAATGTATCGCATTATGAAAATTCTCTGCAATACCAGGGATACTCTACAACAGGGATAGGTCACTCGCTTGCTTTCTTTACCATTTGTACTAATTAACGTGTGCCTCGTCATGCTCCAACGCACACAGTGACTTGGTTCGGTCCCAGCGCAACTTCGGCTGCGTTTAACAGTACTTCAGCCAGTGTATTGTATCAGTCGGAATTTTACAATGAATGAATTAATTAATTAAGAGCAAGAATTTTATGTGAATGAATGAAAGAAATTAAGAAAAAAAAACAAAAGAAAAAGAGCATATGTGAATGAATAAAAGAATAAATGATACACCAAGGCCATCCCTCCCGAAACATGTTAAAGAACGCAAAACTATCGGTAGAACACATATGTTAACATCAGCTGTCCTTTTAAAAAAAAATTACTTTGATACATTTTTTTTACATTAGTAACTAATTCAGATATCTTATTGCATGTGTGGAATGACATGGGCATTGACAGAATGTTCACTGACACTGTCACAGACCCCTCAAGAACAGAAAGTTTAGAACTATCACAAAGCGTTGTAAACACCTTTCCAGTTTTGTCAAATACTAAGATCAACAAGAAAGAAAGAAGTTTTAGAACTATAACACTCAAGCATCACAAGCACCAATGGCGTATCAGAACAGATCGGCGATATGTTATATTTTTCACACACCTCAAATACACACTAACAATTTTTTTTAAATTATAAAACTATTACTATTACTTGCAAACACCTTTCACCTGATGGTATATTCCCCTCATAAAAATTGAAGGTGTATGTGAAAGATATTTTTGAACAATAACTAGAAACACTCAAACAACGCCCTGTAGTATTTCAATGGCAGATCGGCGATATGTCATATTTTTCACACACCACAAATACACCCTAACAAAAAAAATTAAGTTATAAAACTATCACTATTACTTGCAAACACCTTTCACCTGATGGTATATTCCCCTCATCAAAATTGAAGGTGTATGTGAAAGATGTTTTTGAACAATAACTAGAAACACTCAAACAACGCCCTGTAGTATTTCAATGGCAGATCGGCGATATGTCATATTTTTCACACACCTCAAATACACCCTAACAAAAAAATTTTAGTTACAAAACTATCACTATTACTTGCAAACACCTTTCAACTAAAGGTATATTTCCCTTCTAAAATTTAAACGAATATGTGAAAGAAGTTTTTAGCGATATAATTTAGTCTTTCTTCGCTGTGTACTGAGAATTGAAGCCAGTGAGCTACAACATGCCCACTTGAAACTTTACTACAAAGCTACTGTACTTATACTGACACTAATAACAATTATTTGACTTAAAATGAAGTGACAGAATAGGTAACTTATCTTCTACATGTAGTTTTTCAGATGTCACAACACTCAGCGTATGTAATCAGCTGTTGAAAATAAACCGGGCTCAATCTTAAAAACTACGCTGCCGCCATATTTGCTACACTGGTCACGTGACGAGCCGAGGCATAGCTTAGGAGCTTTCCGAGGAGTGACCACTCCCCCTTATAGAGTCTCCCTGGCAATACCCACCCCTATAACCCCGTGGTGTATATCTTAATTTGTCCCGTCTGTATGACTGCATGTTTGTATACCGCGACACGTTAATCAAATATGTACCCCTACTTTACTTGCTTACTTAGTCACTTAGTAATCGCTGTACTGCATGCGATTTTCCTTCCCTAAAACACATAGGAGTACAGTGTTTTGAGGATACCAACGGAACAAGAAATAGGTGAGGTGAGGTGAAATTGGGTTTAACGTCGTGCTTGAGAATATTTCGCTCATATGACGACGTGCATGCGTGTGTATGTGTATGTGCGGCTGCTTGTACTAGCCCAGACTGAAGCTGGTTTTATAGTGCTAGCTCACTGAGATACCATGCCGCAGTGAAGCATTATACGGACTCCGAGCCGACCAGTCCCTATTGTACCCATTAATGCCGAGCGCCAGGCAGGGACCAACAAGTACCATATTTTAACGTCTTTTGGTATGACGTGGTCGGGGATCGAACCCGCGACCTTCCGCTCTCCGGGCGGACGCTCTAACCACTACACCACGGAGGCGATGGAACAAGAAAATACATATAAGCATTTGCTGTGTACTAAAACTGTATATACCTATATCATAGGTAATAGACACCATATTTTTACATGACGTGATTAAATATCGAGGTAAAAATCACAGAAATGGGATCAAATTCGATCAGTCATTATACCATCCAGCATTAGAAAATCTGAAAAGGCCAAGACTGCTCGGATACTACAATCAGACAAGACTGACTGACTGAGTGAGTTTGGTTTTACGCGGGTTTTAGCAATATTCCAGCAACATCACGGCGGGGGACACCAGAAATGGGCTTCACACATTGTACCCATGTGGGGCTTCGAACCCGGGTCTTCGGGTGACGAGCCAACGCTTTAACCACTAGGCTACCCCACCGCCCCACAATCAGACAAGAACTGCAGGGGATATTTTCAAATAACCGTGTCTGATGGGCACTCACCCTTCTTAATGTCCCACTGTTTAGGTTGAAGAATTTCTGCCATGGTAGACAGTAGCCCTGTCCAGTGTCGTCATGGATGAGGGAGCAGGGACTGACCTGCTTGCAGCTAGGATTTGTAATTGAGTGCGTGAGTTTAGTTTTACAATATTGCAGCTATATAGCAGCGGTCTGTAAACAATCGAGTCTGGACCAGACAATCCAGTGACCAACAGCATTAGCATCGATCTGCGCAATTATGAACTAATGATCTGTGTCAACCAAGTCAGCGAACCTGACCACCCGATCCCGTTAGTCACCTCTTATGACAAGCATGGGTTACTGAACATCAACAGTCTAACCCGGATCTTCACGGTCCGATTTGTAATTAGATTGTAAGCCTGAAACATTAATCGCTCTGGATCAGTGTCCCTTTAACATGATAGCAAGGCTACATCTGCCATAGACCAGTGAAGATCCGGGTTAGAATTGTTCTTCATCAACCCATGCTTGACGGAAGAGGGTGGTCAGGCATATGTAATCATATCACAGTTGCGTAGACCGATGCTCATGATGTTGATCACTGGATTGTCTGGTCCAGACCACCGCCATATAGCTAGAATACTGTTGAGTGTGACGTTAAACAACAAACAAACAAAACATCTGCTATAACATGTCAAAAACAAGAAGACAGACATATGTTTGATCTTTCTTTATTTTGATAGCAATATAGCAATTCAGATCCATCTTTCACACAAGACTTCGAAGCAATGGACATAACACCAAAATTGCCAGGGTTGGCAGAGCACAGCTGAAGACAAGTTTTAGGGCTACTATAGACATTACTCTGTCAAACCACAGTTGCAAGGCCACAGATGCTTTGATCACTGGAATCTTGAATTCTAAGTATTTCAAATCAAGTTATCAGAAGATGACAAATTTTACCCCCACTACAAATTTGAAACAAATAATCTGTTACTTAAGTAGAAAGTGATGAGAGAATTTCCATCTGATCTTCCTTTCAGCATACAATGGTTATTGACCTATCGGACAGAGCTGTCAAAACAATTGGACTTGGGATTCTGAACTTTCTAAGTCAGTACACTCTAACATGATTGAAAGTCAAACGTGTTGCCATGGAAATGATCAACTCCTAAACACAAAAGGCACCAGTTGACTGCCTGGTCCTTGTGTGCACAGTTTCAAGAAAGTCTGCTGGTTAGTTTTACACATACAAACACACAAATATGAACAGAGTCAAAGTCAAGCTTGTGGCCACGTCAACAGGAAGAAATTAGCAAAAGGCACTACTTGAGCTTCATTACTTCATTAATACATGTCAGAAATGGAATGATTACGAACGGATGGACTGAGAGGAGGTGTTGAGTATATCCCTCCTATGCTGTGGTAACAAACTGGGAATTCATCTCAGGTCACATAATAATCTTGACAACCGTAATGATTAGATCAGGCTAGCTATTCTCGAAACATTCATAGCCCTACAAATTCTTAAGCCCATTCTTAACACATTGGCTACGATCAAAGTTAAGAATTCTTAGGGCTACGAACATTTCAGAATAAGGGCCCTGCTTCTTGTAATATGGTTGTTGTAACAACCCTCACATAATATTTTTAGTTTTACTTAACTCGTGGATGCAATTCCAAGTTTCACAAGTACAGACACAGTTGAAGCATACTTCACATTTCTATGGCAACAGTTACAAAGCTTTCCTAATAAATATCATTCATTATTTACCATAGATGATGACTTTCTACTCAAGTTTACCAGCTAACTCCAACCCTGGGCTTTAGGTGAGAGTATCAGTATCAGATCTTTGCGGAGCCCGGTGCTGGCAACCTGTTGCTAGGGGACTGAGTGAGAGGATGTTATGGATACACATATGACATGATATTTTTCCAATAAATTCTTTAAATCTGATTTCATGCTTTAATTTCAATTTTGGAGGTCTGAAACCCAGAAATGGCAACACTAAGGAATAACTGTCAGAGAAGTATCTCCTGTACATGGCTTTAAAGTATTAGAAGTTCAACTGAAGACAAACAAGTACACACAAAAACAAATTTAACAGAATAGCAAATTGGTATAAAAATATTAACATATTGAAATAACACAGATTTGTAAATCAGAACAACTGTCTGATGGAGTGACTGACAGGTATCATTTGCATAGTTCTTACCTTGTAACATGTTTCACATTAGCGAGAGACGGAGAGAGTGAGTGAGTATGGTTTTATGCCAATTTTAGATATATTCCAGCAATATCATGGAGACACCAGAAATGGGCTTCAAACATTGTACCCATGGATCATGATGAGTAAATGCTTTTACCACTAGGCCACTCAAACAAGGAAGGGACTTATTACTGGAATGATAGTGAGTGAGTGAGTGAGTATGGTTTTATGCTGCTTTCAGCAACATTCCTGTGGGGGGGACACCAGAAATGGGCTTCACACATTGTACCTATGTGGAGTATCGAACATGGGCCTTTGGCATGACGATCAAACGCTTTAACCACTAGGCTACCCCACTGCCCCTAGTGCAATGATAAAATACAAATGATCAACATGTATCATATACAGCAAGACGTCATTTGATTGGCAATATTTGATTTGATGTTGATTTTAAGGATGATTATGGAGCACTGAACATTTGTTTATGTGCAATTCAGAAAAAAATAGAATATTCACATCATCTTCAAGATAGACGTTTGATTGCCAAACATGGTAAAAAAATCATCGATAATATCATGCATAAACTGTTATGACGAAATAAAGTTTCAACATACCTAAACCGGCCTGTCAATGTCAACTGCCAAAGACAGAAATATTGTGGAATATGCTTTTGTTTTGAAGGTTTTTTTCACATACTGACTGAGTTTGGTTTTTACGCCGCTTTTAGCAATATTCAGGGAACACCAGAAATGGGCTTCACACATTGTACCCATGTTGGGAATCGAACCCGGGTCTTCGGCGTGGCGAGCCAACGCTTTAACCACTAGGCTACCCCACTGCCCCTAGTGCAATGATAAAATACAAATGATCAACATGTATCATATACAGCAAGACGTCATTTGATTGGCAATATTTGATTTGATGTTGATTTTAAGGATGAATATGGAGCACTGAACATTTGTTTATGTGCAATTCAGAAAAAAACAGAATATTCACATCATCTTCAAGATAGACGTTTGATTGCCAAACATGGTAAAAAATGTCATCGATAATATCATGCATAAACTGTTATGACGAAATAAAGTTTCAACATACCTAAACCAGCCTGTCAATATCAACTGCCAAAGACAGAAATATTGTGGAATATGCTTTTGTTTTGAAGGTTTTTTTCACATACTGACTGAGTTTGGTTTTTACGCCGCTTTTAGCAATATTCAGGGAACACCAGAAATGGGCTTCACACATTGTACCCATGTTGGGAATTGAACCCGGGTCTTCGGCGTGGCGAGCCAACGCTTTAACCACTAGGCTACCCCACCGTCCCTTTTTCACATACAGGTACTTCTTTGCTATCTACCATTAACTGTTAGATATTTAGTCACCTGTTATCAATCGCCATTATAGACAGACAGCATTAATTATTGTTTATATTATTTCATCTTCTTTAATAGTATCTCCTTTGATTAATATCTCGTCTGTGAAAAGAACATATTTTATAGAAAGAAATTTGATTTATAATATAACAAAAACGAACAAAGAGACGTTCTTCATTTTCAGAACAGTTGTAGTCTATACTTGAAACATCCACTACACCTGTGTTAGCTGTAATGGTTGTCTTGTTTCAGGGTGTTTACGACAGACATCTTCCTCTAATGTACAACATATCATAGATTTACAGTAGACTGATACACATTGACAGTGGACTCAGATAATATAACTTTCTGCTGCAATATTTGGTTTTAAATTATATGCACAGTGCAGACCATTACAAAATGTCTCATGTTCACAAACATAGTTGATTAGCTGTATTAGAGCCTGTTGATGAGTTTCGTATTGATTGATGAGTTTCATATTTTAAGATGGCAATTTGGACTGAAATATATCTATATATGTCATGGTTCACTTCACATGGATTTCAAATAAATAAATTATGGCAGATACAGAGAAACACACTTGTTTTATAAAATATTTAAGTCTGTAACTGAGATAGCGGGGTAGTTGTTAGAGCCCACCTAACTTTCAACAACTTGACAGGCTTTGATGAGTGGTCAACAATGGTCTATATGATTCAGTGGCAAAATCATTCAATGCTCAAGAGTAAAAATTATGCCATTTTGTTTATACTGAATCTTTTCTATGGTCGAGTGATTTTTGTTTTCTAGTTTCATTTCAGCAGCTTTGAGAGAGACAAACAGCATTAGGTATTTTAATGTCTTTATCAACTTCTGTAGGAAATGTTTTACATTATACCAAATTTTAAAGTCTTTTCTGGACATTTAAGATGGCAATAAGTGAATATCCAAGAAAATGAACCAATCTGAAACCAAATTTCAAATCCTGGTCCAAAAAAAGAACAAAACATATCCTGTTGAGCATTCTGACACAGATGATCAAGGCATGAAGTGCATGACACATTCAGACATAGCACAGGCTAACCCTGATGAAACATACCCACACACAGACTCGTCATTTCACTGCCAATAGGGGCAGGTATCAGAGACCATGCTGGGGGAGGAGAACACACATAAAAAATAACCCCTGTAATATCTCCGTGCTGATATTACACAAACATGTCAGTCCAATTTAAACATTGTTTTTGAATAATCAATAAAACATGTCACAATTCAAGAAAATATCATTTTCATCAGCAATTTTAAGAACACATGATGAGTGAGTGAGTATGGTTTTATGCCGCTTTTAGCACTATTCCAGGAACATCACGGCAGGGGACACCAGAAATGGTACAAATGATGACTTTGAAAAGTGTCAAAGAGTTAATATTTTCCGAAGATAAACTAACATGTTTGTTTCATAACAATCTACATGGAGACATAACTAGGACACACAAGGTGTAGTGATCTAGCTCACTGACCAGGGACTTCTCAGCTCAGTTCTGGAACAATGTTCCCATCCCCTATTTCACGACATTATACACGGCTATGGTTCACTTCAATTATTGTGTAGCAAATATCAGCCATTCAAATATCTCCTTTCTCCTGCTGATTGGTCAGTTTCCTGCAGGACAATATTTGTATGTTGTGACTAAGATCACTGCATAGTATTTGAACAGCAGTTAGAAGTGATACACACAAAAGGTGCGAAGTTACAGATGACAACTACTTTATTATGAGGAACACAACATTTTGATGTGTATTCTTACCTCATAATAGAGAAGTTGACATCCGTAACTTCTCACTTTTTAACATCACTGCAGCAAGCAACATAAAATGAGGCACAGAATGATGACTATGCTGCAGTACATTATTTGGCCCTCGAGAAACTCGAGGCCAAATATCCGGCTTAAAGTTCCTTCAACTGGTATTTGGGTAAGTGTTCAGGCAAAGAACCTTTCAAAATTTCCCACTAGCCCTCAGGACCAGTGAGTGGACAATAATTAGTGGTCCTGAATGTACTTGACTGGTCCAAAATAACATTCGTAGATTTACTTAACTACCAATAGAAAATTCACTGGCCACCTGGACCACTGCAAACTTATCATTTAGTGGTCCTGATGAATTTTTACTAGCCCGGGACCACAGGACCAATGTAATTTTCTGAGTAAAATTGATATTTTATACTTATCCTGACTCATGCTCTTTGCTTGTCCCCTTCCTCTGCTAACATAGTGGAACACTTGTATCTCCTTAATTGAAGCTCCCTTCAATGTAAAATCACTAATTGGTACTCACCCACGAAGTTACCTCCCCGTCAGAAGCTGAACAGGTGTCGCCACCCTCTGGCCTCATGCTTCACTCTCTCCTGATTTTATGAGCCCAACACTTGAATTTACAGGGAAATCCAAAGTGTTATGTGGGAGGATGGAGGGAGCACTCATGAGTCAGGATAAGTATAAAATATCAATTTTACTCAGAAAATTACATATTTTTCCTTATCCTGACTCATGCTCTTTGTTTGTAGAATCCAATCGGAGAGGTGGTGGGTAAACAGAATACTTTGGATTAATTAGTGATTTAAGTAAGTGATATTGTAATAATTTCATGGAACTTCATAAGGCATTGAGACTTAGGATATTTCCTTATAATAAGCCATAGATATATACACTATAAGTGGGGTATTACCTTACTAATATACTGATATATCAATATATATATATAAACTGCTACTCTAACGTAGCTGTACACTGAATATAACTCAGTATGAGCTTAAGGTTGAATAACCTAAGCTAAATATGTACATAGCCCTAGAACTCCATGGAGTTATAAGCTAGTGAATATATGTATCATATATCTAATAATCTCGTGGGGTGAATATTAACGCCACGAGGGACTGTCAATTGCTGAGCGAGGACCAAAGGACCTAAATGATGAATGCCAGAGACGCCCTCGGTGGTGATATCTCTGAGATAGTGATTAGCAAACACCATGTTAGATTTCCAAAAGCATCCTTCCATAATTGTATTCAATGAACAGTTACCATGAAGGGCTTAGGGTGGATGCCAATGCCCTGATTTCATGGGGATTTGATGCTGTTGAGGGTCCAGTCCTGCTGCCTTATAGGCCAGAAATGACAGTTCTTATCCATATTGATATGGTGGTACGAGAGACTTCTGTCTGATTTGTAGGCTTATAACGGATGAACAATCTTCTGAGCGATCTTCGCCTTTGTTTTGGAACGACGAAATAGATTATGAGAGCTCAGACTGGGCATAGAGATAAGTCCAATGTATCTTGAGATCCAAGAATTGAGGATAGCGCAGGGATGTGAAATAACCTGTCTGGTTGACCTGGTAGTTGATTTTAGCGATGAAATCCCATCTTAATCCCAGGTGCGCTGTCTTTGATTTTCATCAAACTGTATCCTCTCATAATCTAGAGCATGAATTTCAGATATTCTGGCTG